CAGCAATGACAACAGTGAGTCTACATCATGATAATGAAACACCTTCAGCAGAGGCATGTAGCCAATATGATGTAGGGCAAAATAACTGATCAGGAAAACTTTGACCTGTCTGAGTGGCAGAGCATCTGCCGTATTTGCCACTATTTGCTGTATTTGCTTCTTTTCATTTGAAAGAAGCCCTTATAACTCAGTGCTACTGTTCTGGCTTGGCAAAACATGTTCATACATCATGACTTTTGACATGGTTTATAAAAGAAGTGAAGAATACTTGTGAATTGTGCTGGCATAAAGTTGATATCAAGAAAAAGGGGAAACCTGCTGAGGTAATTTTTACTTCCACGCCTTTTTCTATTGATGTACATTTTTACAGTTCATCTCAAATTTTTACCATTATCAACATTTTTCTATTCATAATCAGATTCCTTTTTGTTACCATCATCATCATCATAGCTTTCATCATCATTATTTTCACCACCTATTCCATACCCCTCCCCCCTTTCTACTCTACTCTCTTCTCCCCCCTACCATTTAGACTTTAGTCCCACTCTTTTCCCTTAAACCTGGTGGTAAATTAAGAGCTGATTGAAGGTGCATGTGCGTTGCGAGCCCACAGCATTTTGGCCAGTGTGATGATCATGAATATTGTTGTCAATTAGAGTACAGAACACACTAAACTGTGTATCAATTTGTTAAACTTCCCAGAAGTGTTTATCATGTACCCTTTCCTTATCACACCCATACATTTTCCAGAAAAAAGGTAATGAGAATACCTATAAGTTTTTGTGTTGATCTAGCATCATATTCTTGTAACTATGTTAAAAGGAAATGTATAGCAGCTAGAAGGGAGAATTAGCAATCAGATCTTGGAAGTTAAAGGATTTAAGCCTGAGAAGTTAGAAACCATAGATGTTACAAATATGTACTTCTAGCGAAAAGTAATTTAGAAATTTCAGTTTCAATTGCATATTTGCTAGACCAACATAAGTTTCTCTCCTTTATCCTTAGGGGGATGGACCAGAAGATAAGCCGACCCCCATAATCTGGTTCACTGTATTTGTTGTTGGACTTTTCCTTAATCTATTTTCCATCTCTGTGAGTGCTTCGATTCTAAACTTTGCATTTTAGCAGTTTGTGTGATATTCCACATAGTGAATGGATTTGGGATCATTCTTGATGGTGCTCTTCTCCACTGCTGGTGGACAAAATGTCTGTTTTATAGGCAGAAGTGGTTAACACTTAACCAGGTGTGGCCCATTGTAGTCGGCAATGGGCAGTCTGCTTTGCAGCGATGCAGCCAGGGAGAAAGGAGTTGGAGAACTATAAAAATTCCTCGTATAGTTTGAATTGTGATCCTATTCACCCACAAGTTGTTTTGCAAACAGGCAGTTGGCCAACTCCTCAAGTCTTCTGACTCTTTGGTCAATTAGAAGTTGATCAGGTTCAGTGGATTGAATCAGTTATTACCTTTTGTAGTATATCAGCGTTGTGTCCTTAAGCAAGACGCTTCACTCACATTGCTTCGTCTTCTCGGATAGGACGTAAAGCCGGAGGTCCCGTCTCCTGCACCTATCAATTAGTTAATTTCGGCAGGGGACGTTAAAGAACCCACATCACGAGATTACTGTGATGTGGTCTGGCCTGTTTACTGGGAAGGGGGGGGAGGGCATCTGTAAAAATTTCTCCTTTATTAATTGTAAACTGCCACCAGCAGTCTAAAAAAGTCCCCCACACAGTGTTGCAAAGCGCATTAGAGCATTTTCATGGAAATGCGCTATATAAATCGATCTATAACATTATTATTATTATTATTGCCTCCCTTTAACCAATTTTTTTCTATTGCAAAAGTCAGTGTAAAGCTCTCTTCTCTGTCTGGTATGTCTAACCATACATCAAATGCAAATATGGCATCCAATTTGAATTGCCATTGTTCAGGACTCGCTAGCGTCATCTTCATGTGAAAACACAAAAGGAGTATTACATGTGTGAGAGGCTAGTGAGTCCAGAACAATGGCAACTCAAATTGGTTGCCATATTTGCATTTGGTGTAAAGGCTGGGGCTAAATTGACTACAACACAAACTTTGGAATTCTGGCCCTATCTACAAATACTAGTGAGAAAAATCTCAACTGTTAAAAAGTCATCAACAAGTGTAAATAAAGTATCATATATTTGATCTGCAGATTAATGAATGACAATGAGAATGACTATCGCAGTATCTTTAGAGTCTCGTACCTTACATTTTATCATGATGGTAACAGTAGCAGGCAAGCCCTGAATTATGTACAAAAACAGTCTAGTATTTACAACAACTGAATGCAGGATACAGTGTATTTAATACGATATCTAAATTTTTTCTATTATACAAATAATGGCATGGCATGTCAATCGCTATCACTCTTTGTATGTTAAGGGGAAATCCCACTAAACAGTTTTTATGGACAGTCTCAGAAAATCCTCAATAGATGTTTTCACAACTCCAGGAGTTTCCTTTTTAAGATAATTCCTCACTACCGAGTGAATTTCAACTAATTAAATTTAGCTGTATCAAAATTATTACGCTGTTAAGTTTGCTCTTCACTTCATGCTTCTATGTGACACTATTTACAGGATGAGCTCTAAAAACCAACA